ATTTTTCTTCTGTCTGCAATCCCTTAAGAATAGACAGGAGGCATTTGGGGATTCTAAAGTAAATCTCAATACCCATGACATTTAAAGCTGGCATTTCCATTGTACCTTGATCACATTGCAATTTTTTATATGTTTTTATTTTTAGAGAGAGAGGGAAAAAGATATAGAAACATCAATGATGAGAGAAACATCACCAATCAGCTGCTTCCTGCATGCCCCCAACTGGGGATCGAGCCTGCAATGGGCATGTGCCCTGACCAGGAATCAAACTGGTGACATCTTGGTTCATGGGTTGATGCTTAACCACTGAGCCACACTGACCAGGCAGATCATATTGCAATTTTATAAATATTTATAATATATGCTGAAGAATATTTTTAAATGTTTAGTTCTGTACCTGAGACTACTAAAGTTCAGGCTGTGTGATACTTAATCTCAAATTTACAAATCTTCCTCATTGATTTAAAAAAAAAAATTTAATGCTTACATCTATGTAAAAATTCCCCTCAAGCATGTTTATTTTTCTGTTGACTCTGCACAAAAGAAAAGCCTGCCTACTAATCTTGCTCCATCCAATAATTATACCTGCAATAATTGGGCAGCAACAGACCCATGATTTAGGAACTCACATAATGATTTAAACAAAGGCTAAAAAAAAATTTTCCAAATGATTTAGCATCTCTTTCAAGAAATTAGAAAATCAACCACAAAATAGATCAAAGGATAGAAGCAGTAACAGATTAATAGACATAAGAACATACATGAGTTAGAATCCAAAATCTGGTTCATTGAAAAAAATAATATAAAATAGATAAAACACTCAATACATGAATGAAGGAAAATAAAGGGACAAAATGTAAATTTACAGAATAACAATTGGCTAAGAGGAGAATAATGACTGAAACAGAGAGAATGAAAGGAATCTTAAGACACTACTTTGTTCAATTATGGCTAGGTAAATTCTGAAAAATGGAGTGAAATAAATAATATTCGACCAAAGCATAATATGCTAAAATTGACTTAAGAAGAAAGAGAAAGTTCAAAAGAGGCTGGCATTCAGAATTGACACTCCAAATAATTGTATGGCAAGAGCCTCAAAAAATAAGAACTTAATCTAGCTGTTCTTGCACATTATGATTGAATAACAACCTTGCCAATACCCATATAAAATGGAAAAATTTGACAGAGAGCTACCCTTAGAAGAAGCATAAGGTACTGATAGTCTAAGAGGGAATTCTACCGAAGTTTGACAGAGTAGATAATTTAAATTACTGAAATTATTTTAGAACATAGAAAAAATAAGTTGGAATTCAGTTTTTAATTAAGATAGCAATTAAAATAAAAAATATTGAAGAAAGATAGATGACAATAAATATTGCTGGGACAAGTGAGTGGTCACATGGAGCAATCCCTCACACCAAAAACAACAACAACAAAACCCTTCCATTCGACCAATGATTAAAAATGCTTGCAATGAGTCCTTAAAAGTACCAGGAGACAGTGTGACAAATTTTTAATCTAAAACATGCTTAAAACATAGTGAAACTTGATAAATGTTATTATTTAGAAAGATGACTATATGGCAACAAAATATTATAAACAAAATTTAAAGAAAAATTAAAAATGGTGCAAAAAATAAACATTCGTAATTCTAACCATAAACAAAAGGACATATTGATTAATAGGCAAATAGTTCTTGCAAAGCAGAGAAGAGAAAAGACAAAAACACAAGAGAAAAATGGACAAAATAAGTACGAGTTATTCCCATATAAAGAAAAAACAAAAGGCGTTAACATATAAGAGGTGTTTGAAACACTCATCTTAAGAAAAACAAAAATGAAAGCTACTTCTGAAAACTATACTTTTCAGAATGTCAAAACCCAAAGTTGTCAACATCATCTATTGGAAATACTAAAGAAAAACTAGGCAGTCTCATATATTGACAGGCACTAAGATATATTAAATTTGCACAACTCCACTAAAAGGCAATTTGGAAATATCTACCCACGTTACAAAGGCATCTGCCTTCTGACACAGCAGTTATACTTCTGAGAATTCATCTTACAGGCAATTATTCCACATTGAAAAGTATATCTATGTGAAAGTTTACTTTTGTGGTAGTCTGTAGTAGTAGACAATCAAAAAATGACCAAATGCCAACCAAAAGGCAACTGGTTCAATAAATTGTAGTGCATCCTTACTAAGGAAAATATCATAACTGATTAAAACATAATAATGATAAAATGCTCTATGTACTGACATAGAAAGTTCTCTAAGAAATGAAATTAAGTGAAAAATGCAACAGATGTGTAGTATACCAACTTTCATGTAAAAATTGAGAAAAAAATTAAAATTTACTTATAATTTCTTATATTTAGATTGTGTAGAACCTGGAATGATTCACAAGCAATTAATGATAAGAGGAGGTGGGGGGTAAACTAGGCAAATGAAGGTCAGTGATGGGAGGGAAGCTTTCACTTTATTAAAACATTGATTTATATTTTAAAATAATACCTATTTTGAATAATCAAAATTATTTAAAATAATACATATTTTAAATAATCAAAATAATTTTTGAGAAGGGAATACTTGCTCTTGATAGAATACCTAGGTGGTACTAGAGCCAAAATTTGAATTTAAAAAAAGAAACTGAGTTAAATAATGTGGCACATGATTATAAATAATTTCTATAACTTTGAAATATAATGTGTTAGAATAAAAGCACTATCTTGAATAGTGCTTTACTTTACCTTACAGTAAAATGTAGAACTTTCTTCTTCATAGAATCTTGCTTTTTATACAGATATTTAGTTTTATGCGGTTTTATCAATGGTTTTTTCAAAGGAAGAATATCAGTGGAGGGGAAGAATAGTTTGGAAAGGATGTTGGCAACTCTCCATCCTATATATTTGGAGAAAATTTCATCCCCTGCATTTGATGAAACTCTAGTGAAAGGATCTGTGGGGTCATTTAACTCAGCCTGTTGAAAGAAAAGAAAAAGGAACCAGTTAAGATAGCATTAAATGGGAGGGAAAATGATATATTATTAAATAAAAAATAAAATGTATGTGTGTTTTCTTTGACTAATGTTGCAGTCTTTCTGTTAAATAAAAAAAGCCTTTATAAAATAGTAGTTTCCCAAAAAAATGTTAAAATAATTACCATTTTCAAAATTAAGCAAGAATAAAATTTTGAAATAACATTTTTGAATATAGTGATATAATTTTTATTTTAAATTTGCATACTTCCCACACAAGAATTTCATAACCACTTATAGTATTTATTTAATAAGTAATTAAGCAAGCAGTTGAAGAAATATAGGCATTTTATTAAATAAGAATTTCACTTCTCTATGTATAATCCAAACTTTCCTTGGAATCAACAGAAAATTCTATAGAACAAAATTTGTGTTAAGTAAAAAAGCAAAAAGGGCTTTGTATTTAACTTACATTAAAGATGTTCTAGGATTAGATTTAGATTTAGATTAAATTGAACATGTTTGAATAACAAAAAAAAAACCTAATATAAGAATTCTACAATATTTATCCAATCTTTACTCAGGAAAGTTCTATTTTCTGTATTTTCCTATTTATGTTCAATAATTTCATGGCAGATTTTATATTACATATTCTTTTGAAATGTCTAAAGGAATATTTTCATTGGCTGAAATTGGTAATAACAAATGAAAATATAAGTTCCAAAATGTCATGTATTATACTTATTTATAAGGTTCAGAATAGGTTTCTGTTAGGAATTCTCTCACACAAATAAATTATATACGTTCTCCTTGCATTTAAGTTTTTACGTTTTTTTATTCAATGATATCAATCTTCATGCAGTTTATTACCAGTCACTAAAGATTCATTTTATATGCTTATCGATCTTGTGGTAGAAAATGAAGGAGTGGAAAATGCCTTTTTGCACATGAACAACTAACTAAGTCTCTTTAGGATTCCAAGATCAAGCTTGGCTCAATGAAATACTGTTTAAATATTGACTAGTGTATTATTTAAACAAAATTATTGTGAAAAAAAATGAGAACAATCCTATATAATAAAAGGCTAATATGCAAATCTATCAAACAGCAAAATGACCAATATCTATGCTGAGCACTGACCATCAGGGGGCAGATGCTCAATGCAGGAGTTGCCCCCTGGTGGTCTGTGCACTCCCACAGGGGAAGCACTGCTCAGCCAGAAGCTGGGCTCATGGCTGGCAAGTGCAGCGGCAGTGGCAGGAGCCTCTCCCACTTCCATGGCAGCGCTAAGAATGCCTGACTGATGGCTAAGGCCCACTCCAGGCAGTTGGACATCCCCCAAGGGCTCCTGGACTGCGAGAGGGCACAGGCCAGGCTGAGGGACCACTCCACCCCCAAGTGCACAAGTTTTGTGCACTGGGCCTCTATCCGATAATAAAGATTCAAAAAATAAAGGGTTAGCGCAATAAGGAAAATAGGAAAAGGGAGGTAAGTAAATATGGATTACTGTAAAAGCCATTGAATATGGGAAATAAAATGCAAAAAAAATTATTAAAAAACTAGAGGCCCAATGCACAAAATTCGTGCAAGGGGCCCAGCCCTCTCAGCCCCGGCTGCCTCCGCCGGCCCTCGCAGCCTCAGCCAGCCCTTGCAGTACCCCACAGCCCTGGCTGCCTTGGCCAGCCCTTGCAGCCCTGGCCACCTCAGCCGGCCCTTGCAGCCCTAGCTTCATCCAGAAGGTTGTCCAGAGAGTTGTCCAAAATGTCATCCAGATGGTCATTTGGCTATTTGACCTAATTAGCATATTAGCTCTTTATTATATAGGATACATAGAAAATCATGCAAATAGGTAAGCACTAAAATATGAAATGAAGACTCAAGAGAGCCTCAAAATGCTGGAAAGTCAATATTAAAATTTATAAAGAAAACCTATTTTTCATGTTTTAGAAAAAGAACTTAATCAGTAGTTCTCATTGAAAACAAATTAAACTGTGTCTATGACACTTAGTACCTATTGTGACCTTGAGGACATTATTTACCTTCTCAAAGTCTGGTTTCATCTGGAAAATGGTAATCATGATACCTGGATTATTTATTCTGCTTAGCTTCCATGGCTTAATTTTTCATGAAAAAAGGTTATTTCAATATCAATAGCAACATATAGTAGTGCAAGGACCTATTATTATGAGCTCTTCCATTACTAAGAGAGTGATAAATTAATAAATTTGTGAATAAATGAATGAAATAGCAAACATAATGTCTTCTGATGACAATTTCTGATAAAACACATTGTTTCCAGGGTAGCATTACACTGCTTTATAGAATCATAATGCTCTCTCCTGTCTTGACTTCTTGTTTGCTTCCCCCCAAATTGGATAAGTTGTAGATCCAAAAAGCAAAATGATGGCATTCCCACCTTTCATGATGGTTCCCTGATTGAAATACCAGTTACTCCCTCCCCCATTGATGTCCAAGGCATATAATTTCAAATATGGGTCAAATGCATCGTTGCTGGATCTATTAAAAGGTTTTGCTTATTTGTTTTCCTACAGAAAGTAGCCAGGAAATAGTATGGGCTTTGTAGTTAGAAAGATCTGAAATCAGGTCTGGCTTTTCCATGTACTAGTTAAGAATGTAAACTTGGAAAATTTAAATTCTCTAGGCTTATGTTTGGTGCTTGGTTTAGTCCCATCTTATATTTCATTGTGATATAGAGTTAATAATAACTGCCTTTCAGAATTTTGTAAGGGTTCTTTAGATGGCAGAGGGTGATCTGTCTAGTAGACAGTGAGAAGTTCAATGGGTGTCAGTTCCTTTCAGGGCTTCTCTAAGGCAAAGCACTAATGTTCCAGCCCCTGCTCCTCCTTCCACCACCAACCCACGGAAAACTTGATCCATCCTCTGCTGGGCTGAAAACAGTGTTATGTTGTCACTTTTATATTAGACCTAGAGGCCCAGTGCACAAAATTCATACATGGATAGGGTCCCTAGGCCTGGCTGGTGATCAGGGCTGATCAGGTTCCCCGCTGCTCCACCTCCTCCTTCCCTCATTCCCTCAGTGCCCCACCACCGCAGCTGGTCACCTGCCATGTTTTGTGCTGCCCTCTGGTGGCCAGCACATGTCATAGCAAGCAATTGAACTCCTGTTCTCCCGGTTGAGCTCCTGAGGGGACACTTTGC